TGTCTATCACCAACTCCTGGAGCCTACCCAAACTCATGTCCATTGAGTCGGTGGTGCCATCCAACCATCTCATCCTCTGTCGTCCCCTTCTCCTCCTACCCCCAACCCCTCGCAGCATCAGGGTCTTTTCCAACGAGTCAACTCTTCGCATGAGGTGGCCAAAGTATTGGAGTTTCAGCTTCAACATCAGTCCTTCCAATGAACACCCAGGACTGATCTCCTTTAGGATGGACTGGTTGGATCTCCTTGCAGTCCAAGGGACTCTCAAGAGTCTTCTCCAACACCACAGTTCAAAAGCATCAGTTCTTTGGTGCTCAGCTTTCTTTATAGTCCAACTTTCACATCAATACATGACTACTGGAAAAACCATAGCCTTGACTAGATGGACCTTTGTTGGCAAAGTAATGTCTCTGTTTTTTAATATGTCTAGTTTGGTTATAACTTTCCTTCCAAGGAGCAAGCATCTTTTAATTTCATGGCTGCAGTCACCATCTGCAGTGATTTTGGATCCCAAAAAAATAAAGTCAGTCACTGTTTCCCCATCTATTTGCCATGAAGTGATGGGACCGGATGCCATGATTTTAGTTTTCTGAATGTTGAGCTTTAAGCCAACTTTTTCACTCTCCTCTTTCACTTTCATCAAGAGGTTCTTTAGTTCTTCTTCGCTTTCTGCCATAAGGGTGGTGTCATCTGCATATCTGAGGTTATTGATATTCCTCCCTGCACATTACCATATGTAAAATAGATGACCCATGTGAGTTTGGTGTATGATGCTGGACACCCAAAGCCAGTGCTCTGGGACAACCTAGACAGATAGGGTGGGGAGGGAGGTGGGAGGGGGGTTCAGGATGGAGGAGACATATGTATGCCTATTCATACATGATTCAAACTGATGTATGACAAAACCCATCACAATATTGTAAAGTAATTATCCTCCAATTAAAATAAATAAATAACTTTTTAAAAAAGAGAGACAGAAGTAGAGCCAGGCTCAAGTTAAAGGTGACGGACAGATTGAACTCAGAACTGCCACAGTATGGGAGAAAAACCATGGTACAGAGCTAAGCTCAGTTCCAAAGACAGCAAAGGCAGCTGGGGATTCAGAGCGCATAGGCAGCGTGAGGGTCAGTGGATGGGAAGTGACCAGGAGGAGCCATCAGGCTGGGGGACTCCTGCCAGCCTAGCCTAACAGGACCCTGGCTATCAGGTTCAACTATCAAGGATAGGGGGAATTCTGTAAGCAGACTTAACAGTATTCTTCCTAAAACCTGGGCTGGGCAGGCCAAAGACAGGGCCCAAGGACAAGGCCTAGCCAAAGAGAGAGCTCAGAGGAGCCCATCCAGAGTTTGGTCCAGGAGCAGGTGTTCCTTGTCCCTTCCCAGCAAACGCAAGCACAGGGCACGGTGAGACCACGGTGAGACTCTGTTGACCATGGAGCGAGTCATCCCACCTTCTGCGTGACTTCCAGGAGCCAGAGAATTTGGCTGGAACTGAAGACAAGTCCGTGGCAAAGAATGTGGGTGTGAGACACACAGGAACTCCGAGGATGGGGTGTGTTGTGTTTTCAGTGTTCTGTCCTCACGCCTGTGTCTACAAGGAGATGGTCTTCAGTCACCGCACAGAGTCCAGGAAGAGATGACCCAATTGTCCCCAGGCAGCAACAAGGCAGTGCCTGTCCACCCCTCCCCTCCCACGGTGTGAATCACATGGCACCTAGGCCCCCTGCCCCAGCCACTAACCCAGAGCCCCCGGGGCCTGGGCAGCAATGGGGCTCCATCATTAGCGGTGTCTGAGTGGGGTTAATGGGGGACAAGCATCTCTCCTGTGAGCTCGTGCAGAAAGCCAGGAGCAGGTCCGGAACATTCTTCCTCCTTCCGCCCCGCTCCCCTGTCCTCACCTCACATCACCAGCCCCAGAATCCTACTTCCCTAAAACATCTCTCTGCGTTTGAACTAGTCTGACCTGTTTCTGCCTGCCAGCTGGCCCGCCATGGAAACAGCAGAGACCTTGATGCGGTGGGATAAACCTGCAAAAGTCTCTATAAACACACCAGCAAACGGCTAATGTCTGCATAGAAACCCAGGGGCACTGATTTCCAGCTACGGCCTCTGCCCATCGGATTCCCCACAGTCTGCCCTGAACAGTTTCCCCAGGAGAAAATGTAGGCTGGATAAGGAGACACTGGCTGTTGAGATAGACAGGCTCTCTGTCTGACCCCGGCTTTGCAACAACAGTGGACTCTGTGACCTTCAGCTCTTGGCGTCTCTTTCCCCATCTGTGCAGTGGGAGTAAACAGACCTGGGCCATCTCCCCAGGTTCTGCAAGGCTCAGATGAGATCATGCCTGGGAGGTGCAAAGGAAACCCTAAAGGGCCACCCCCAGGGCAAGAAAAGCGTCCCCTGCACCCCACTTTCCAGCTCCCTCTCCCAGAGTCACTCACACACACACCTGGGCAAAATGCTGGTGTCCACCTGCTGTGGCCTGTGTTTGTGGGTTGTGCTCTTTCCTCTGTGTCTGCTTGGCTTGCAGCGTCTCTCCCAGTGCTGATGTGGGGGTCCTAGGACGCTTTGGCCTCCGGGCAGCTCTTGGCTCCTAGTGGCCAGTGATGCCAGTCTCACTCCCGTGCAGCACCCACTGTGGCGTCCTGGGGGGATCATTTAAAAAACATTTTTGTATTTGCTTCTTTGGCTGTGCTGGGTCTTAGTTGTGGTACACGGGATCTTTAGTTATAGCATGGGAACTCTTAGTTGCAGTAGGTGGGATCGAGTTCCCTGAGTAGGGGTAGAACCCGGGCCCCCTGCATTGGGAGCATGGAATCTTAGCCACTGGACCGACCCCCAAGGGAAGTTGCTCTCCTAGGGGTATCTTGAGGAAGTTGTTGCAGAGGTTCCTGCACCTTTGCAGCAAAGTGGCTTCCATCCGAACTATAGTGGTCGCCCCGATCCATGACTGATTTCACTTTTCATGTTCCCATTACCCAAGGTCAACCACAGTCTGAAAATATTAAAGTGAAAATTCCAGAAATGGACAATTCATAAGCTTTCAGTTGTGTACCGTTCTGATCAGTGTGATGAAATCTCTCACCATCCAGTTCTGTCCTGCCCAGCCGGTGGGTCACCCTCTTTCTCCTGCACATCCTGCCCGTTGGTCTCCTAGTGGCCATCTCGGTTATCAGACTGCCTTGGCATCGCACTGCTTGTGTTCAAGTGACTCTTATTCTACTTAATGCTGTCCCTGAAGTGCAAGAGTAGTAATACTGGGAATGTGAATTTGCCAAAGGGAAGCCTTAACGTGTTGCTTCTTTTTGACCATGCCATGTGGCATGTGCAATCTTAGTTCCCCAGACCGGAACTTAGTCCCCAGACTTAGTTCCCCAGACTGTGCTCCCAGCAGTGGAAGTGCAAAGTCTTAACCACTAGACCACCAAGGAAGTCCCTTAAGGTGCTTCTTTTAAGTGAAGAGGTGAAACTTAATAGAAATCTTAATAAAAATAATGAAACTTTTAAAAAAATCATATACTAAGGTTGCTAAGATCTACAGCAAGAGCAAATCTTCTCCTGAAATTGTGAAGAAGGGAAAAGAAATTTGTACTGGTTTTGCTGTCAAACCTGAAAATGCTCAAGTTATAGCTTCAGTGCATGAGAAGTAAGTGCTCAGTTAAGATGGCAAAGGCATTCACTTTGTACAGTAAAATATTTTGAGACAGTGACTCATATAACTTGTATTATTGTTATAATGATACACTGTATTATTGTTCTATTTTATTTTTCATATCATTAATCTCTCACCGTGTCTAATTAAACTTAATCATAGGTATGTAGGGATAAACAGCATATATATGTAGTTTGATACTATGTGTGGTTTCAGGATATCTGCTGGGGGGGGTTCTTAAATGTACCCCTCATGGACAGCAGGTTGACTGTGTTTGCTGAGTGAGCCTAGATAAGTGGGGCTCCATTTCCTCACCTGAAATGAGGACCAGGTGGTCTTGTTTTTTTTCTTGGCTGCACCAAGTTTTAATTGTGGCATGCGGGATCTAGTTCCCTGACCAGGGATGAAACCCGGGCCCCCTGCACTGGGTGTGCAGGGTCCCAGCCACTGGACCCCCAGGGAAGTCCCGAGTAGGTGGTCTTGAAAGCCCCTCCCTGTTCCTGGAAGCCTGTGATTCTGGCTCATGTTTCCACATATCAAAGTCTCTGTCCTGCTCAAGTGTTCCCCTCAGCTGGGGGCGGCCGCAGTCCCCCATGGGCATCAGTGCTGACGGCTGAATTCTGACTCTCCCACCCCACCCTCGGCAGCCCCTTTGTGTGATGGTGAATGCAAAAAACGCGCGTCCCCTTCTCACTGTGGTGTGGCTGTTACCTTCTCAGATGGCGCGTGAGGGCACAGGCGTCAGCCGGCTCACAGCCTCCAGGTCAATCCAGGAGAAGCTGGTCCTCGAATCTCACATCTCCAGCTGTTACCAGATCTGACTGGTGGGCGCCAGGACCGGGTTCACCCTTTCCTGCCCCCACCCCGAGCTCTGGTCCATCCAGCCACCCAGCAACTAGTGGTGGTGGGGGGGGCTGCGGCTCCCAGTCAGACAACCCCGCAGGCTCTCTGGCTTGGAGGAGGGAAAGCTGTGGAGGGAAAAGCTTAGCTCCACCGTTCTGCGAGACTCATCCTTCCCCATGATGGTTTATAGGCGAAATAGGCCTGGAGAGGTGGCCTGTGGTGGTCACCGTGGCAGGACAAAGCTCTGCTTTCACCCGGCCTGGCTCCCTCTCTGACTTAGGAAAGACAGCAAATCCCAACAGGAGATGAGCTCATGTCCTCGCTCTCTGCCGTGTTGACCTTGGCCGAGGTGTAACTGTCTCCTGACACCCCCACCCCCACAGCCAGCCATGAGGAGCAGCAGAAGGAACGCCATTCCCTCGGTTCTCCCGCCCTGAGTCTCACGGATGTATGTGGCCTTCGGGTCGTACTGACCTTGTTCCTCTCTTCCTCTTTCCCCTCCTCAGGGTATGGCAGCTGGAGGGAGCTGGCCAAGGCTCTGGCCAGCAGAAACATTCCGGCTGTGGACCCGAATCTGCAGTTCTACCATCCCCAGAGGCTGGGCCCCAAGGTAGGTGGCAGGGTCAGCCGTCCCCTTGCTGCTGCCTTAACTCCAGTACCCCCCCGCCCACGCCCACCCACATAGCCTTGAGGGCATCCTCCGCTTTCCCATGTTACGAGAGGCAGAGGTGAGGGACGCCCTGGATGGCAGACTGGCGTTCCCAGCTCTCCTACCTTGTGGGTAGAGATATCCATCCTGCTTTCCCTCCTCAAAGCCTATGGATGGATGGCTCCATAGGCCATCCTATGGAGCCATAGGAGCTATGGATGTGGCCTCCATCTCTGCAAGAGCAGGGGCTGGAGGAAGGACCAGCACGTCTCGCCTCCTGCTGAGATGACCGGGCTGGTCCTCCAGTCACTATCCCGGATACTGGCAGCCAAGAGTCACAGATAATGCAGTAGACAGACACCCCTCCCTGCAAATAGCTGCAAATAATGGAGCATTTTCCTGATAGCGTTTACTGGGCTGCTGGTCCCTAGAAGCAGCTCTGGGTGGGGGTTCGGGAACTCGAGGCCAGTTCAGCCTGGAGCCCTAAGATTGAACTTCCGAGCCTAGAAGAAACACTGCCCCCAAGGCTGGACCACAGCCTAACTGAGCCTGTGGAACTGCAGGGTAGGGAAGAGTTGGGGAGTCTCCAGGGGGACAAATGTTGGGATAAATGAGTTGCACCCTAAGCAGGTGTAGAGGAAGAGGGAGGCAGGGTCCCTGTCCTCAGGAGAGCCTGGTCTAATTAGAAAAAAATAATTTTGGTATGGGAAGACTGAGAAAAGTCAGGAAAGCAGAAACATCCCAGGAATATACATTGGAGGCGTGTTGGTGGGGGACGGAGTGTGGACCAAAAAAAGGAATGTCCTTAAGTTGACAAGCTTCCGATGGCAGAACTGTGTCTCTTGAACCCTTTGCATCTCCTTAGGCACGTTTAAGGGGCCCCGGTCCTATCGCCCCCTTCATATTTCTGCCAAGTTCATTCTTCTCTTTTCTGCCAGGACCCAGGCTCAGCGCGTGGTGGGAGTGGAAACAGCAGCTACCTGAAGTGGAATAAGCCGGTGCCCTGGCTCTCAGAGGTGAGGCTGCTCCTTGAAAGGCAGGGTTAAAAAAACAGTGTTGATATTAGTAGGAAACTCCAGAGGCCACAGAGCATTGTATTCTAGTGGTTATTATTAAAGTTTTTCATCTAGGGGCTTCCGTGGTGGTCCAGTGGTTAAGACTCTGCACTTCCACTGCACGGGGTTTGGGTTCAATCCCTGGTTGGGGAACTAAGATCCCACATGCTGCTCAGTGTGGCCCCCCCCAAAATTTTTTTCATCTAATTTGAAGAAAAAAGTTAGAGTTCCAGGCTCACTGAATTTTCTTCCTTAACTAACATAGAGAAGTGCTAACATTTGCAGGAGGGCTTCCCAGGTGGCTCAGTGGTAAAGAAGCCACCTGTCAATGCAGGGGGTTCAATCCCTGGGTTGGGAAGATTCCCCTGGAATCCACTCCAGTATTCTTGCTGGGAAATCCTGTGGACAGAGGAACCTGGTGGGCTACAGTCCCTGGGGTCACAAAGAGTGGGACATGAGTGAGCAACCAAGCACAAATAGTGTGCCAGGATTTGTGTGTAACCTGTCAGCTTTATGGCCCTGTAGGTTAGCCTCGTGTCCTCATTTTATGGGTGAGAAAAGTAAAGCTCAAGGAAGCTATGGGACATTCATGTCTATGCCAGTCCCTAGTCATAAAATTCGACTTCCCAAACTGTCTTTCTTGGACCATTAAGTCCCATAAGATATTCAGATATTAAGTCAGAAAGGAATCCATTGTGAAATATGGTTTAACATCTATAGACATCCACTTCCTGAAAATACATGTTAGCACATGAAAGATGCTGAGTTCTGCCATCCTCTATTTGACTTGGTTTCTCCCAACACATACCAAACTTATTCACCTCCCGAACTGCCTTTTTCCATTAAACTTTAGTGCTCTATGAAACCAGTGCTCTGAGGGACTATATACTAGGAAACTCTTGCTTTAGAAAATTTTTATAGGAAGCTGTCAAACATGTGAATAAAAATTGTCATAACCATCATGACACCTTTTGTTTATGTTGGACTGGACAGATTCTTTTTCTCTTGGTATAGAAACAGAGGCTCGGAGGTTTATTACAGACAAGAAGATTACCTGGAGTAAATGCTTGTGCAGACATTCCAGAGCAGCATGGTGATTTGGGGGTGAACATTCTAAATTTGGGCGTCGGACCATGCAACTTGTCCAGGCCTTTCTTGGCCGGGTGGTGGCAGCCAGCCAGTTGTCTTCATCCACACCTATCACGGGTTGGTCTCTACTGCCTGGGTGATTTCATTTCTAGTTCACCCATTTGCTGTGGGGCGAGAGTGAAGGAGGTGGTTTCATGCGAAATATGATGGTAGGTTATCTACCGTGAAATTGCCTCTGGTTAAATCCTGAGAGAGAGTGGATTACATCACTGGCACACCTGTACCAGGTGGCATCATTGGGTAATTAGGCCCCACCCCACCTGGAGATATTGTGAAAACCATTGGTCCAGAGATTCGGTCTTCTCTTCTTTGAGGCCAGTTTGGATTATTTTTCTTACTGAACCAATTATTTTGAAAGATTGTAACTACATCATAGTCTGCATTTATTAATCATTAATTTTCCCACTTTTCTTGGCCAGTCAAGGAAGGAGACATATATGAATTGCTTGCGTGCAGTGTCCAACTCTTTATGACCCCATGGTCTATAGCCTGCCAGGCTCATCTGTCCATGGGATTTTCTAGGCAAAAATACTGGAGTGGGTTGCCATTTCCTCCTCCAGGGGATCTTCCCAATCCAGTGATCGAATCCCCATCTCTCGAATTGTAGGCAGATTCTTTATCACTGAGCCATCAGGGAAACTCCAGAGATATATCTATATATATCTCAATGAAAACAGTAACAAATAATAAATAGTAATTAAAATGTGATTAACTTTTAAAAGAAATAGTTGATCTTTTAGTAAGTTTGTTTAGCCTTTTGGTGGTAAATGACTGATTTCCATTGGCTTTGGTATTTTATTATTAAAAGTGGCCTTTTAAAGTGAATTCCCTGGCAGTCCAGTGGTCAGGACTCCATGCTCTCACTGTCAGGGGCCGGGATTCAGTCCCTGGTTGGGGAACTAAGATCCTACAAGCCACGCAAAGCAGCCAAAAAAAAAGAAGAAGAAGAAAAGAAAGTGGCTTATAAAATCTTCATCACAACCCTCATGAATCTTCAGGGAATCACCAATCCAGTCTTTTCATTTCACCAATGAGGGCACTTAGGTCCTGACAATTTAGATGGCTCACATATGCAGTCAGCCAGCTGTGGTGGTACCCTCTCCTCCAGCCCTTCGTGGGGACTTCTATTCCTTCTCCTTACCTGTCTCCTGCATTTGGACCTACAGTTTCAGCAGAAAGTGCTTTATTGAGCATCTGCTAGCTGTTGGCGGCTGTCAGCTTGCACTATTATCACCCCTTTCTGGGCAATGGCTTCCAAAGAGGTTGACCAGTCACTCCCCAAGGTGGCATAGCTCCTGCAAACCTGCCCTGTGGGTGAGCAAGGACAGAACACGGGAAGGCTGCCCGTGGTCTCTTCTTTGACGAGCTCCCATCCTCAGCCTTCAGCTGGCAGCTCAGAGTCTCAGAGGCCAGAAGTGGCTCTCGAGTGTAGCAGGCTTAGTCATTGCTCTGCTGTTCAGATGAGGAGTGGTCGGCTGGCAGGCTGGGCTTCGTGAGGTAACTGCCCTCAGAAACCGTCTCTGTCAGCCCAAATTATGAGACTCTGACTAGCAAACCCCACTAATTAACAAACCTCAATGGCAGTGCGTTCACTTACTGTCGGTATTCGGTCCACTGACCGAACATTGTCTGCTATTCTGCTCCCTCTACAAAGCCAACATCGTTACAGGAAAGAAATGTGGTGGATACGGAGTCAGATCAAAGCAAGTTGGAGTCCAAGGGTCATGTCGCGTCGGCTCGGTGACTTGGTGTCTCTCCTGAGGGCTGGGATCCTGACTTCCCTTCTCAGGCTCCACCCCCCCATCTTTTGTCCTCTAACAGTTTTATTGAGATATAGTTCATATACCATATAATTCATAATTTTAAAAATGTGTATTTAATGTCAGTGCTGGGTCTTAGCTGCAGCACTACGGCTTAGTTGCTCCAACTGCATGTGGGATGTTGGTTTTCCAACCAGGGATTGAACCCAGGTCCCCTGCATTGGAAGGCAAATTCTTAACCTCTGGACCACCAGGGAAGTCCCTATAATTCACCCAATTAATGTGTACAATTCAATAACGTTTAGTATATCCATAGAGTTGTCATCCGTAACTATCAATTTAGTATTAATCGGTTTTCATCACCACTAAGGGAAACCCCTCACCTGATAGCCTCACTACCCCCAGTCCCCAGATCCCAGGAAATGCTAGTCTAATCTGTCTCTCTGGATCTGCGGTTCAGATAGACTCTCTCTATATGAAGACTCTCGTCATATAGGGAGACTTGTACTATACGTGGCCATTTTGTCTGACTTCTCTCACTTAACATTACATTTTCAAGGCCCATCCATGTGGCAGCGTTTGTATCAGAACTTAGTTCCTTTTTCTGGCTGAGTAATCTTCCATTGTGTGGATGGACCTCATTATCTTATCCTCGGAAATAGGTGTTTGGGCTGTTTCTGCTTTCAGCTCTTGGGAGTAATGCTGCTGTAGACATTTGTGTGCAGATCAGACCTGCCTTTTTTCAGGGCCCCGAACCACCACCGTCATACACGTAGTCACCATGGGAGACACAATTGACATCCCAGTTCAGTTACAGAGCATCTATTCAAATGGGGATAATGTCCCCCACTAGGATTTCACCAGATGGGGCTCTGGTCCCTTCTTCCATCTACAGCAGTCTCTTATCCTCATAGATAAGAGGTGGGAGCCCCTTGATTCCCAAGGGGAGCTCACTTGAGGGGCAGGTGTGAGCAGGAATCAAGGGGCTGTAGAGACTCTAAACAGGAGTCCGGAGTGCAGGCCTTGTTGTCCTATTGGGTGGAGGTCACATGGTCCTGCCAGGTGTGCTGGTCTTGTAAGCGTGAATCTGGCTAAGCAGCAGCCTGGTCCATGCTCACACCGGTGCTGGGCTGCCCCACCACCCCCGGGGGGGTGGACCACCTTCACGCCCTCTGCATCTCAGCCTCTGCAGTAACCCTGGCACAGGCGGCTCATACTTCCGCATATCTCCTCCTCCAGGGACCCCTTTCCATCTTTGCATCAACACTGGTACAAACATCTCTAGTGCTTATAGGATAAATGAAGCCATAAATATGGCTCCAGGTTTAGCTTCTCTGAGCCTTGTTCCCTTGGATAATTAAGATGTGCAAGGAGCCCCAAGGAGGGAGCCGTAACTCTGCCTGGAGAAATTGTAGATGCCTAGAGAGAGATTTGAAAAGAGCCTTAAAGGATGAACTGGAATTTGCTGGGTGGGGAAGAAAGGAAAAGGCCTTCCAACCAGGAAACTGTCTGCAAAGGCAAAGAGGAGTGTGTGTGGTTGGAGGGAGAGGGGTGAGGCGAGGCGGGGAAGACAGGTTTTGTCCAGAAGCTTCTGGGAACTGTCAGAAGCGGCAGAGTGGCATGGTCAGATCTGTCTCTAGAAACTTTTTTTTCAGTTTTTATTTATTTGGCTGCACCAGGTCTCAGCTGCAGCACGCTGGGTCTTAGATCTTTGCAGCCTGCAGGATCTTTAGTAACAGGATGCAAACTCTTACTTGTGGTGGAGTCTTAGCCACTAGACTGTGAGGCAAGTCCCTGGATCTGTCTTGGATCTGTCTTAAGAAAAACAGTTCTGCAGGCTTTGTGAGGAAATCAATGATGGGAGACACCTCCACCCTGTTGGGAGGCTCTGTGAGCCCAGTGAGGCCTGGCAGAGGCCCTGTCGTGGTAGAAGGCAGTGGACATTCCTGGGTGAGCACCCACAGGCTGTATGTGCACCCCTCGATGCCCTCCCATTTCCACAGGGTTCATTGCTGTGTGTCCTTGGGCTGTCGGTTTACCTCTCTGGGCTTTAATAGTGTCAACCCTGAAAGGAAAAGGTTCAACAGGTATTTTCTCTGCTGCTTGTGACTGGACGTTTCAAGTCCGTCTTTGGCCATGGATGTGCTCTTCCCTGGGCCTTAACCCTGCTGGACGGTGAGAAGGGGGCAAAGGGCAGTGCTGACCAGCCTGAGTCCTACATCCCTGCCCGACACGATGTCTCCAAAGTGTAGAGGGACACAAACCAAGGTGGGGTCACCATCAAGGCCTGGGGAGGAAGAAGGTGCTGATTAGTCCCTCGGGGGACCCCCGCCCAGAGCCCAGAAGGGGTGAGGGGTAGCTAGAGGGTGGGCTCAGGACTGAGTCAGGGCTTTACCCCCGGGATGTGGACAGTTCCGTCCACCCGCCTGGGTTTCCCCTGTGGCTCAGGCCATGAGGAGCAGGTGGGTGCAGCCAGCTCCCCCTCCCTCATCCTTCCCTTGTCCCAGCCCCTGTGGCCTCTGGCCCCCTGGCTGAACAAGGAGACTTCCGGGGGTGTCCCCCCACCCTTGGTTTTCTGTGGACGCGAGTCTCCCGGGGAGGGGCAAGGAGGGGGGGTGGCTTGGAGGAGACAACTGAGTCTTGTAAACCGGACTCAGGAATTTCCCTAGAAGTGGCACAATGTCCCCATTCTTTCCTTCCAAGCAGCCCCAGGCCGCCCCCAACCTACGAGGCGCGCATTCTCTCTCCCACCCACCCCAGCCCCCCCACATTCCAGGGAGCGATGGCTGCTCCCCAAGGTCCCCAGGCCACCGAGCCCAGGAAGAGCCAAGTTCTGAGGGGATGGGGTGACAGGCTCTCCAAGTGGGGTTGGGGGACCCCTCCAGCTGAACCTCAGGTCTTGGCAGTCCCATCGGGTTGGGGGGGTGCTCTGCCCGGTCCCTTCTCTCTCCCCCACCACCATCCCTCCCTCCAGAGCTCTTGCTGAAGGCCTTCTACGTGGGAAGGCCTTCCAGTTCTGGTACCCCCTCCTCTGTCTCCCTAAGGCTACTGGGATTCGGTATCTGATACAAGGAAGAGAGGGCCTGTTCATGTGGCCTGATGGGGTCACCTCCTGTACTCTAGAGATGGGGGCATGGGGAGAGGGGAAGAGTAAGATGGGGTCACCTGAAGCGCTGTGTCCAGATGACTCGGGATAGGTCCCCCCTCCCGCCCCTCCCCTGCTCCACGCCCTTCCACCCACTGGGGTCCTGGCTTCCCGCCCGTCCCCTCTCCCCCCGGGGGTCCCTGTGCCCACCAGCCCCCAGCCTGGGAGGGGAGGGGACCTGCTTGCTCCTACTTTCCCTTGGCTGCCCCTGAGCCCCAGGCACCTGGGCGGTGGTCCATGAGAGGCTCTGACTCTCGGGAGAGCCAGCCGCAGGACCCTCTGCCAGCTGAGGGGGCAGCTCGAAGACCAGGGAGGTGAGGTTTCACCCAGGCCAGACAGCCACGTGGCTTTCCTCTTTGGAGACTGAAGGTGTGCGTGTGTGCTAAGTCGCTTCAGTCATGTCTGACTCTTTGCAACCCCATGGACTGTAGCCCACCAGGCTCCTCTGTCCATTGGATTCTCCAGGCAAGAGTACTGGAGTGGGTTGCCATGCCCTCCTCCATGAGACTGAAGGGAAGGGGGCCAAACCGGCTGAAACCCAGCCTGGCGCCTCCCACCTGCCACTCTGTCCTGCCCGTAATTCCCCCTGCTTGGGGGATGCAGACCAGCCCCCTTCCTGTGTGGGAAGAGCCCGGAGTGTGTGTGTGTGTGTGTGCTGCATGTGTGCATCTGCGTGTGAACACGTGCAAGGCCAGATAAAGAGACCCAGGCTTCAGGGCCAGGCCACGCAGCCGTGGGGCCGAGGATGCGAAAGGGGCCAAAGCAGGCCGTGACCTGGAACAATGAGGTGCGCTGGCCTGGGCGGGCCAGGCCTCTGTCTCACACTCACTCCGCCCCATCCCCACAGTTCCGCGGCCGCGTCAACCTGCATGTGTTTGAGGACTGGTGCGGCAGCTCCATCCAGCAGCTGCGGAGGAACCTCCACTTCCCCCTGTACCCCCACGTGAGTGCCTCCCCACCCCTCTTGCCCGGCTCCTGGCTCTCACCACTCCTCTCCCCCCGCAACTTCCTCCTTCCTCCTCTTCCCTTGCTTTTTCTGGTTCACTTCCTTTGCTTTATCCCATGGACGCCCTTCGTCTGCCCACACTATCTCCCTTGTTCCCTCCTGAGAGATCCTGTCCATTTCCCTACCTTCCTCATGGCTCAAAATACAGTTTCCCCAGGGGCCACCACATCCAGTTGTGCAGGTTGTGCACTGTTCAAGGTCTGGATAAAGTAGCACATGGGAACCTGTACCCGGGTTTCACCTGCCTCACTCCCTCCCTGTCCTTCCGTCAGCCCTGAGCAGACCCGTCGCTTCACTTTCCTCTTCCCTCCCTGGGTAACGATCCCCCAATTTCCTGGCATAGATCCGCACAACCCTAAGGAAGCTGGCCGTGTCTCCCAAGTGGACCAACTACGGCCTCCGCATCTTTGGCTACCTGCACCCCTTCATGGACGGTGAGGCCGCCCCACATCCTGCTGAAGTTCTCAGGGTACCTGGGCATGTCACCTGCCCTGGGCTGGCTGGCTGGACCATTAGCCCACTTTCAGGGGAGCAGGGTTTGGACATGGTGAGGCCTCATGCATGCCCCTAGGTGGCCACTTCACACACACCTTGATTTGCAGGGCCCAAAACTAGCTTATCCCTCTCATGCCCTATCCATGGAGTCTCCCAGGTGTAGAAACCCCCGCTTTACAAAGCGGGCAGGATGGCACAAGACCCCACAGAGAATTTAGTCTTTGAGATGTGAGTGCCCGCTAGGGGAAGTTTCGTCCTGCCCTCACCTGGGAAATCACCCCCCATGCCCAGGGGAGATCCAGTTTGCCATCGCTGCCGACGACAACGCAGAATTCTGGCTGAGCCGGGACGACCAGGTCTCCGGCCTACAGCTGCTGGCCAGCGTGGGCAAGGTAGGGTCCGCTCAGCCCCACAGGCCCTCCCATCCCCCCAGGAGCCAGGTCACCTGCCTCCCATCAGGACACTCTTACAGAGGGATGGACGGGATATGGGCAGGAACAGACCTGGAGAAGACTCAGGTCTAGGCCACACCTGTCCTGGTCCTGGTGCCGAGGATTCGTGTGGCTTCTCAGGTTGCATTGGAGGGAACACTTCGAGGAAAGCCGGCTGCTTCTCGGGTGGTCCCGAGCCCCCTCCCATCCCTCAGCATCTCCCCTCCCCCCCCAATCTCCCTCCTTTCTCCTTGTCTCCTCACTCATCACTCCCACCCTGCCTCTCTCCCCACATCTCCAGACTGGAAAAGAGTGGACTGCCCCTGGAGAGTTCGGAAAATTCCGGAGTCAGGTTTCTAAGCCGGTCAGGTGAGTATGGGTCATGGTAAGCAGCAGATCCCACAACCTCCTTCCCGAATGGAGGCAGGCTAGGAGCTGTCCCCTGGGCGGACCCCTCTGCCACCCACCAACCATCACAGAGGTCCAGCAAGCCAGGGCCCCCTGCATTTCCGGAGAATGACAGAGACCTTCTGGCCCATCCTTCTTCACTTTACAGATGAAGACCTAAGGCCCAGGGAGGGCTGTGACTTAATGAGGGTCACACAGATTCTGGGTGGCACTCAGGGCTGGGAAACAGAATGGGTCTCCTTTCTCTCTGCCCGTTTTCTCCATCTCTGGAGAAATCTACAGCTGTGCAGCCCAGAGCCCCGCTGCGTTTTCTGTGCTACACAAAATTCTGTATGGCGGGGACCCCTGGGCAGGCTGGAGGGAAGGCCCGTAGTGGCTGGGGCGGGAACTAGCCCAGCCTCAGAGCGCCACCTGGTGGTCTGCACACACACACACGCATGCACGCGCGCGCGCGCGCACACACACACACACACGCGTGCGCGCACACACACGGTGAGAACACTTGTGGGCTTGATGGTTCCTGGAGTAGCTAGGCCGGGAACTAGCCCAGCCTCAGAGCGCCACCTGGTGGTATGCGCACGTATGCGCGCGCACGCGCACACCCCCACACCCCCAACCCACCCACTCATGAGAACATGTGTGGGCTTGATGGTGCTGGTGCTGGTATTGATGGTGGTGAAACAGGCCAGCTTGCACAGAGCGCTGTCCGTGCCAGCCCCCATGGTCACCACTGCCCATGAGGCTCAGAAGAGTAACTGAGAACCGGGGCTGAGACACAACTGCCTGGATCCAAACCCCAATGTGGCCACTTATTACCTGGTGACTTTGGGCAAATTACCAAAGATTTCTGTACATAGCATTCATATCTACAATTAGGGGTTAAGTGAGTTCGAATGTATAAAGCACTTAGCATGGGGTCTCCAAGTGGCTCAGTGATGAAGAGTCCTCCTACCAATGCAGAAGACACAGGAGACTCAGGTTCGATCCCTGGGTTGGGAAGATCCTTTGAAGTAGGAAATGGCAACCCGCTCCAGTATTCTTGCCTGGAAAATCCCGTGGACAGAGGAGCCTGGCGGGCTACAGCCCATAGGGTTGCAGAGTTGGACACAATGAAGTGTGCACACACACGGTGCTTACACATAGGAACAGCTCCCTGAGGGTTAGCACTGTTATTTCACATGACTCCCCGAGTGTTCTGGGAGGTTTGTGCTGTTATTATCCCACCTCATGGGAGGGAAAACTGAGGCTGCCCCGTCAGTTAGTGGTGATAGGGATTCTGACCCAGACATTCAGCGGCAGGTCTGAGGGACCAGGAGCAAGGAGGGAGGGACCGGGCATGTGCGGTGCTGGGAGGCAGCCCTGTACCGTCTCTCCCACCAGCCTGGCAGCTGCCCGCCGCTACTACTTCGAGGTGCTGCACAAGCAGAACGACCAGGGCACCGACCACGTGGAAGTCGCGGTGAGTGCTCGCTGTCCCCTCAGCCCCCAACTGGCCATGCCTCTGCCTGCTCCTTTGAACCGTGTTCCCAATCAGCCACCTCCAACCCTTCACGTCCACCCTCCCCTCTTCCAGTGGCGGCGGAATGACCCCGGGGCCAAGTTCAGCATTATTGACTCTGCTTCCCTGTCCCTCTTCACAAGTGAGTGTCCTACCCAGCCTGGGGATGAGGCCAGGTGGGCCAGCCTGCTGGGCTCTGCCCACTGGGGGGCCTGGCATGGGGAGGCCAGAACACGGATGTGAAGGGTGCGGGACGAGGAGCAGAGGCCAAAGGGACGCCATGGTCAGAGCTCCTTAGCCCTCGGGGTCAGTGACCTGGGAGAACCCTCTGCACGCTCTCAGAGTCCTCGCCCCAGAACAATGCCCATCCACCCCAGACAGCATTGTCTGCATGATTCCAAGGGGCTCTAGAGACTGTGAGGCTCAGTCCAGGTGAAAACACCTCGGAGGGAGCCAAGCCCCTACTATGCAGATGGGCCGTCATGGTTCTTGCACAGCTGTGGCCAGGGGAGAGAAAGCATGCTGACGCGCGTTCCGACTGCAGCCCGTGGACTCTCTGATGACACTCGACACGGCTTGTGATTTCCCATCTGGAGGCCCCGCAGAGCAGTCTCCACCAGCGGGTGTAACCCGTGTGGGCCCAAGTGTAGGAGGAGCGGGCGCGCCAGAAGCCCTAGCAAGAAGGGAAGGAGGGTCTGGAGGAGCCCGGGAGACGGCAGGCAGTGTGTGTATGGCAGGCAGGAAGGAGTAAGAAATGGCACATTTGGCTCACAGAAGAGGGTGGTCGTGGGGAAGAGATAAGGTGGGTGGGGGAGGCTGCCAGCGACCAAGCAAGAGGCCACAGGGTCAAGGCAGAAGGGCCAGAAGAAGGGAGAGTTGGAATCAGTGTGAACCAAGAAGAAAGAAGCCCACAGCAAATTCAGGTAGGAAACCTATAAATGGGCCAGAGGTTCCCAGCCTGCAGCATAGAAGGAGACCTCTCTGTGGGCCAAGGCAATTGAACCCTCAGACAGAGAGCAAACACCTCTGGAGGCCAGAGGGAGGTGCTGAGCTGGGAGTCTCAGGGCGCCCTGCTCACCTGGGCATGGGCTTATCCTAAGCCTGCTGGGGAGCCTGAGGCAGACACCCTGCATTCACACTCAGCTTTGCCAGCCTGTCAGCTGGGTGATCTCAGGCACAAGACTTCGCTTCCACTTGCGCGAGTCCCTTGTCTGTCAGGTAGGACTCATGATGTATTTTTTTTTTTAATTTATTTTTATTAGTTGGAGGCTAATTACTTTACATCATTGTAGTGGTTTTTGTCATACATTGAAATGAATTAGCCATGGATTTACATGTATTCCCCATCCCGGTCCCCCCTCCCACCTCCCTCTCCACCCAATCCCTCTGGGTCTTCCCAGTGCACCAGGCCCGAGCACTTGTCTCATGCACCCAACCTGGGCTGGTGATGTTTCACCCTAGATAATATACGTGTTTCGATGCTGTTCTCTTGAAACATCCCACCCTCGCCTTCTCCCAGAGTCCACAAGTCTGTTCTATACATCAGAGTCTCTTTTTCTGTTTTGCACATAGGGTTATCGTTACCATCTTTCTAAATTCCATATATATGTGTTAGTATACTGTAATGGTCTTTATCTTTCTGGCTTACTTCGCTCTGTATAATGGGCTCCAGTTTCATCCATCTCATTAGAACTGATTCAAATGAATTCTTTTTAATGGCTGAGTAATATTCCATGGTGTATATGTACCACAGCTTCCTCATCCATTCGTCTGCTGGTGGGCATCTAGGTTGCTTCCATGTCCTGGCTATTATAAACAGTGCTGCGATGAACATTGGGGTGCACGTGTCTCTTTCAGATCTGGTTTCCTCAGTGTGTATGCCCAGAAGTGGGATTGCTGGGTCATATGGCAGTTCTATTTCCAGCTTTTTAAGAAATCTCCACACTGTTTTCCATAGTGGCTGTACTAGTTTGCATCCCCACCAACAGTGTAAGAGGGTTCCCTTTTCTCCACACCCTCTCCAGCATTTATTGCTTGTAGACTTTTGGATAGCAGCCATTCTGACTGGTGTGTAATGGTACCTCATTGTGGTTTTGATTTGCATTTCTCTGATAATGAGTGATGTTGAGCATCTTTTCATGTGTTTGTTAGCCATCTGTATGTCTTCCTTGGAGAAATGTCTGTTTAGTTCTTTGGCCCATTTTTTGATTGGGTCATTTATTTTTCTGGAGTTGAGCTGGAGGAGTTGCTTGTATATTTTTGAGACAAAGGATTAATCTCATGATGTATTTAAGCCACAGTGATGACGAGGATTAAAGGGGTTGATATTTGCAAGACATTTTTTATCTTACAAATATTTTAAGAACAGTGTCTGGCTTATTATGTAGTAAGTGCTCTTCACGTATTTGTTGAACTGAACATACTTCTAAGGACAGATTTCTAGCAGGTGGCAGTAAAACATTTTGAGCAAGAGGTGGCTTTTTCCAGTTCACACAGAACTGTGGTGTATGCCAGCCATGGGGCTGGTGGAGGGCGTCCAGGGGAGATAAACAGCTGAAACCACAAGTTGTGGGGGCACGACTCAGGCGGGCAGGGATTGGGCACATCCTATACAGTATTGGGCCTCCCTGATGTCTCAGCAGGTAAAGAATACGCCTGCAATGCAGGAAACACAGGAGACGGGTTCGATCCCTGGGTTGGGAAGATTCCCTGGTGGAGGAAATTGTAACCCACTCCAGTAGTCTTGCCTGGAGAATCCCATAGACAGAGGAGCCTGGAGGGCTACAGTCCAAAGGATTGCAGCGTCAGACACAACTGAACAACTAAACAGACACACACACACATACGGTACCAGGTTGTGGGGCAGCTGGTACTGGAGCCTTGACCTGGCCCCTTCCTGGCCCCTCGAGAAGGCAGAGGCCTGGCTTCTGGTCTGGCTTCTCCGGGAGTCACAGCTGTCCTGCTCTTTCCTCCCTGGGCCCAGATGAGACCCTCCTGAGGATGGACGAGGTGGACCACATCCCGCATACAGCAGCCAGCCACATGGGCTCCCCAGACCCGCTTCCCACTGACGAACAACCACCCGCTGACATGCTGCGGCCCGACCCTCGGGACACTCTCTATAGAGGTAAGACCTTGCCACGCACTTGACCTCCGGCCTGGGGATGTATTGCCAGGCCCATGGTGTCAGGGAGGAGACTCGGGAGGCTTCTGTCCTGCACAGTGTCCCCAAACCAGAGCCTCTTTGCTTTCACGTGTGTGAAATAGAACACATGTACAGAACAGTGCAGAAATACAGACGGACCGCTTCACAGTCATACCGATCATTATGGAGCAAACATGACAGGACAAGATGTAGAGCCTGAATCCAGACATGCCTCTGCAATCTCAAGTATCAGTTTCCTACTGGATTCTAGCTCTTGTCCAGTGAGAGAAGTATGTCCCCACTAAGGCGTTGGCATCTTAAACTGTTGGGGGCATTTACATCTTAAAAGTTGACGTGGACTTCCCTGAGGGTCCCGTGGCTAAGACTCCTTGCTCTCAATGCAGGGGGCCTGGGTTTCATCCTTGGTCAGGGAACTAGATCCCACATGCCACAGCTAAAGAGTTCACACGCTGCAGCTAAGACCCAGAGCAGCCAAATAAATACTTTAAAATAACAATTACCACCACCCCCCCCATGACAAGTGGAAGGAAATTCGGTTACTGACGCTGCACTCAGGTGAGGCTTTGTGGCCTCTTGGAAGTTTTGAGAACTGTTTTGAGATTGGCCATATATAGCGATCCCAGCATTCTACTGTTCCTTGAGCCAGGGACTGTGTCCGAGCTCCAAGGTGCCCCGTGAATGCCACCTCCACCCTCGAGGGGGGCCAGCTTGGTTTAGCAGCCTCAACCATCGGATGTGGGCTCTCTCACAAGCAAACACAGACACGTGCAAGCTCCAGGCTGCAGCCCGCAGCCCTCAGCCACCTCCTTCCACCCCCCAGTGCCTCTGATCCCCAAGGCTCAGCTCCGACACGTCTTGCCCGACTGCCCCTACAAGCCCAGCTACCTGGTGGACGGGCTCCCTCTGCAGCGCTACCAGGGACTCCGGTTTGTAAGTCTTGCCTGGGCGACGGGCTGGAATGGGAGGGGCTGGCTGAGGCTGACCTCCTCCTCCCCACGCCACACCGCTGGTATTCCGCGGGTGCCCAGCCTGGACGGGCAGCCCTGCAGAGCCCGGCGCTGTGCAGTGTGTGGCCCGGCCGAGACCTCCTACCCTCTGCCCGAGAGCAGTGGTATTTATTAAACTATAGACGAGGCACTAGGGGGGTGATCTGTGGAGGGGCTTGGCTTTAGAGAACCCAGAGCCCGTGTGGAGGCCGAGAGGCGGGGTGATGCTGGGCTCCTGGGCCCAGAGATGACGGCGGGGGAGACTGGAGGCAGGACAGAGGGCCGGGGGCAGCTGTGGGGCAGGGTTGAGAGGGTTTTGGTGGCCGTGTTAGAGCTGTGTTTGAAGGGGCGCAAAAAGCAGTGTAGGGAGTAGCGGGGGTTGGTCCCGGGGTGCAGGAGGCGGCGGGAAAGGCCGCAGGAGGAGAGGTGGGTGGTCTCGGCTGAAGCTGGATGAGCTGTGGCAGAAAACGGGAAGTGGGCACTGGGGAGCCCGGCTCGGGGCACGTGCCACCCAGGCCCCGGGAGGGGGTGTGAAGAGTGGCCGGAATCCAGAGGCTTGGTCCACAGCAGCCCCGTGCCTTCCTGCCCCCCGCCAGATTCACCTATCTTTTGTTTACCCCAATGACTACACCCGCCTGAGCCACATGGAGACCCAGAATAAGTGCTTCTACCAGGAAAACGCCTACTACCAAGACAGGTGAGGCGCTGAGTGGGGGGAGCCAGGAGAGCTCCCTGGACCAAGGGGGCTGCGAGGGCGCTCCACCGAGGGCCTTGGCTTTTCCTGGGTGCTTCACACACACACGCGCGTGCACACACCCATATATGCACACATGTGCACACACACTCACACCCCTCTCCCCTGTACCCCCCGCCAGCTGTGACCTCAGAGCTCCCCTCCTCCCCACTGCAGGCTCAGCTTTCAAGACTACATCAAGATTGACCAGCCTCAGAAGCAGGGCCCAGAGCAGCCAGGTACAGAGTGATGGCCGAGCCTCTGGGCCAGATTGGAGGGTGACAGTCCAGACTGGGCCAGAACCGCCCCCAGGAGCTTAGAGTGCAAACCCTGCAGCCCCTTCCCCCAGGCCTAAGAGATGGGGAGCAGCCCTTCGCCCCCTTAATTTCCAAGACACAAGTAGGGACATTTCAAAAGTGGGGTGGTCCAGAGGAGGAGATTCAGAGCCCTGGCGGAAGTGCCCTGAAGGCCCGAGGGCCTTGCCTGCCCTGCACTTAGGAAACTGCCCTACAGAAACACTGTCCTCCCATGGCCTCTCACCTTGCAGGGTTGGGGCCTGACCCCGGCCATCCGCTGGGCCCCTGCTAGCACTTTCTGTCCCTCATGTCACACCCTTGACAACAACCCTTTATGCCGATGGAGACGCTGGGTTAGTTGAGGCTGAGTAACTCACCCTGGGTCTTGCCCATCTCAGCTACCTGGTCCTCAGCTGTCTTCTGGATCTTGTTGGGGAGAGGTTGAAAAGCCCATGTGAGGGATGGTTTTAACAGCAGGTTTCGATGACGGCCTTCTAGAAGAATCCCAGTATGGAGAAGTGGCAGAGGACACCCCTACCCCTGATGGCCAGAATGCCAGGATGCCAGCGGGGAAGTCAGACCCCCCCACAGCTCCCCGGCAGGATACCCCTGACCACCGCCTCCGAAACCTGCGGAGACTCCTGGCTCGGGCCCTGGAGGGCCTGGCAGCACCCCCTCCCTGGCAGAACTCCACAGCCTCCCTCCCCATGAGGCCCAGTGCCGCCCCTGCCCAGCCAGCAGATAAGAAGGCGAGGAAGCCCAGCCTTGAGCCCCACCAGGCTCCGAAGCATCCTGACAAGTGGCCTCTGGGTCCCCAGGCCGGGCGCTCGCCTCCAGCGAAGAGGCCCAGGCCCCCCGGTGCCAGTCCTGGGAAGATGCTTGGGCGGTCCCAGTGGCTGAACCAGGTCGAGTCATACATCGCAGAGCAGAGAAGGGGTGATAGGATGGAGCCTCCGGACCCCAGGAGGGACTGGCCTGAAGAGCAGGACGTGGTGGTGGCAGTAGCCGGCCAAGAAGGACAAACAGATGGCGAGGCTGAGGGGGAGGACGAGGGGGAGGACGAGGAGGATGTGAGCGAGGTGTTGGAGTACCTGTCCATGTTCGACCCGGTGGTGAACTGGGAGCAGACCTTCAGTGCCCACGACCTGGATTTCCAAGCACTGCGGACAGACTGGATCGACCTGAGCTGTAACACGTCGGGCAACCTGCTGCTTCCAGAGCAGGAGGCGCTCGAGGTCACGCGGGTCTTCCTGAAGAAGCTCAACCAGAGGAGCCGGGGGTAAGGTAAAGGGCTCTCTGGGGCCGGGCGGGGAGGGGCACCTGGGAGGATGCGTGCCTTTGGGTCTTGGTCCCACCGTCGGGCAAGGTCTGAAACCCTCAGGGCCTGGCCCTGGGCACGGGCTGAGCTCTGGGAAGGCGCTCGTGCAAGGAACCGGTAAAGAGGTGGAACTAGCAAAACTGGTGCTAAAAAGATACCCTGAGACCCCAGATGTGGGCTGGAAGGGCGGCGGCAGAAGGCACGACTTGGTTTTTTTCATTCATTCATTCATTCATTCAACCCACTGATATTTTTCTACTTCACATAAAAGGCATATATCATTTTAGGAGTGTACAGTTGAGTGGTTTTTAAGTATATTTAGGAATGTTGTGCGGCCACCACCCCTATCTGATTCCAGAATGTTTTCATCACTTTTAAAAGAAATCTGGTTAGCGGTTTACCTCCTTCCTCCCAGGCTCTGGCAAGCACTACTCTGCTTGATCTCTGTAGATTTGCCAGTGCCAGACGTTTCACACGTGTCTGGCTTCTTTCACTTAGCAAGTGCTTCCAAGGCTCATGCACACTGTAGGATGTATCAGTGCTTCATTTCTTTGTACAGCTGTGTAATATTCCACTGTCTGGGTAGACTACATGTTGTCTGTTTATTCATCAGCTGATGGACATTTGAGTTGTTTCCACTTTTTGCTCTTATGAATGATACTGCTATGAACATTCATGTACAGGGTATTTGCGTGACCCTGTTTTCAGTTCTCCTGGGTAAATTCCTTGGGATTGAATGGCTGGGTCATAGAGTAACTCTAGGTTTAACATTTTGAGGAACTACCAACTCTTTTGCAAATCATCTGTACCATTTTACATTTCTATCAGTGGTCTATAAAGGCTCCAGTTTCTCCATACTCTCATCAATTCTAATTTTCCTTTTTTAAAAAAATAGCCACGCTAGTGGATGTGAAGTGGTATTGCACTGTGGTTTTGATTTGCATTTCCCTAGTGAAACTCCAATACTTTGGCCGCCTGATGCGAAGAGTTGACTCATTGGAAAAGACCCTGATGCTGGGAGGGATTGGGGGCAGGAGGAGAAGGGGATGACAGAGGATGAGATGGCTGGATGGCATTACCAACTCGATGGGCATGAGTTTGAGTAAACTCCAGGAGTTGGTGATGGACAGGGAGGCCTGGCGTGCTGCGATTCATGGGGTCGCAAAGAGTCGGACACGACTGAGCGACTGAACTGAACTGAACTGAGTGATTAGTGATGTTGGGTCAACCAGTCAGCATTTCCAATCGTCTGTTGTGTCTTTTCTTTTAAAATTATTCTTTTATTAGCCATATATATTAAAAAAAAATTTTTTTTTTTAATTTGTTTTTTAGCTGTTCTGGGTCTTCGTTGCTGCACGCAGGCTTTCTCTAGTTGCAATGAGCAGGGGCTGCTCTCTAGCAGTGGCACACAGGTTCAAGAGTTGTGGTGCATGAGCTTAGTTGCTCTGCGGTATGTGAGATTTTCCAGGACTAGGGATCGAACCTATGTCCCCAACATGGGCAGGCGGATTCTTAACCACTGGACCACCAGGGAAGTCCCCCTTGTGTCTTTCGCACTATTGACTGAACAGAGCTGCATAGTAATGAGGGTCAGTTTCTGAAGGAATCTCTTCACTATGACTCACAGCTCCACCTTCTGTGCTGAATACTTAGGGTCTTAGAGCTCTAAGAGACTAGCTCGTCCATCTCTATGGATCCTTTTTTTAAAGATGATGGCAGTGCTCACTGGGGCGGGTAAGCATCGTGTGTGTGTTAACCAGCCGTGAAGCTGGGCAAAGCCCGGGGTCTCCTGACACATGGGGTGGAGTGACAGAAGCCCCCCACCCTTCCTTCCAGGAGGTACCAGCTTCAGCGCATTGTGAATGTGGAGAAGCGGCAGGACCACCTCCGCGGGGGCCGCTACCTCCTGGAGCTCGAGCTGCTGGAGCAAGGCCAGCGCCTGGTGCGGCTCTCCGAGTTCGTGTCCACGCGCGGCTGGCAGGGCGCCGATGCCGCGGGCAGGAAGGAGGCTGAGGCCCGGAACCTGCAGGGCCTGGTGTGGAGCCCACATGACTTCCAGGGGCACGTCCCGGGTGCCCGGGCCCCGGAGCCCAAGCTGTGCTGGCCCCAGGGCTTCTCCTGGAACCACCGCGCCGTGGTCCACTTCATTGTGCCGGGTGAGCCTCCCACTGCCTGGGCGCCTTCGACCGAGCAAAGGCCTTGTGAGATTGCGAGCACCTGGTCTCTGCTCCCCGACGTGATCTCATGGAACCTGGGGGAAAGGCCACTTTGGGAAACTGGGGCTCACGGGAGAAAAGTAACCGGTCTCAGGTGACTTGGGCCATCAGGGCGGGAGCTGAGAAGGACGGCTGACTGGCAGCTCTTCCCGTGGAACCTGCATGCAGGGTTTTGTGTGAACAATGGGCCGGGGCTGCTGGCCTGGAACAGTGAGACAGGGAGGGGCTTGGGGAGCGGGCTGGCTGGTTTTCACAAGGAGAGAGGGAGAGGGGAGCCGGTCACAGGAGTAGAATGGGTTGGAGGGGGTCAGACAGGAAGTGCAGGTTGATTGTGGGATGGACAGCTGGTGGGTTGGACTGTCAGGGCCCAGGAGGGTTACTATGAGAGCAGATGACAAGCCCCAGCTCCAGGCCTTCTGCAGGGCCCTGCCAAGGAGGCTGTGCAGGGAGGGGGTGGAGAGGCCCCTGTACCAGGAGCTCTCCTGCTGCCCTCTGACCCCCATTGCCCTGCTGACCTTTCTCATAGCTGCATTGCCCTAAGCAAAGGTCCAGTGGGACTCCTGAGCACGCAGGACCAGGAGTGGAGGGCACTCCTTTGCATTACTCTGCTTCTTTCTCTCCACCCGCCCTGCCTGCCCCTCTGGGCAGTGAAGAACCAGGCGCGCTGGGTACAGCAATTCATCAGAGACATGGAGACCCTGTCCCGGGTCACCAGTGACCCACACTTGAATATCATCATCACCGACTATAGCAGTGAGGACATGGATGTCGAGATGGCCCTGAAACAGTCCAAGCTGCGGAGGTGAGAGTGTTCCCAGTGGGGTGCAGCCTGAGGAACCTCTTCCTGAAGTCCCATCAGTGCCCCGATTCCCAGTCTAGCTTTTCCCAGAGGATTCACCCACCCAGAGTCCCATCCCAGGAGCCTGCATCACCTCTATGCTGCCGGCCAGCTTCCTCCTGGGACCGTCACAGCTGGGTCCTGAGGCTCAACCTCTCTTTTGCTCTCCCCGCAGCTACCAGTACATGAAGCTAAGTGGGAATTTTGAACGCTCAGCTGGACTCCAGGCTGGTGTGGACCTGGTGAAGGTAAGCGGCCTGAGAGGGGCCTGGGAGACAATGAAGGCTGGTGAAGAGATCCTCAGATGGCCAGCTCCTTGGGGAGAAAGGCACAAGACACATGGTCCTCTCTGCTACTCTGCAGGGCCAGGGCCAGGGTGGGAGCATTTATCCAGAGTCCCCAGCATCCACGAAGACAGTCAGAGTTCCCTCTCTGATCACGAGAACTGTGCCCCAATGCCCAGGGCTGTGGAAATCCATCCAGCACTTTATTTCATGCAAGCTTGTCAGTCACTGAAATGGGAGAGAGCCTGAGGATGGCCCTAGAGTGTGCTGAGCTCCTCACCCTGGTCTAGGGGGACTGCTGATGTCCCCATCTGTCCTTAGGACCCGCACAGCATCATCTTCCTTTGCGACCTCCACATCCACTTCCCAGCTGGCATTATCGACACCATCCGGAAGCACTGCGTGGAAGGCAAGATGGCCTTCGCCCCCATGGTCATGAGGCTGCACTGCGGGGCCACCCCCCAGTGGCCCGAGGGTGAGCCTGCCCTGGGCTCGGGAGGGTACGAAAGACCTCTGTGCCTTGTTGCTTAACCCAGAGCTGGAGACAGTCCTGGGCACCCACTCTCCATCCCTTCCCTTTCCCTGTCTCCGCTCACCTGGCTGCCCTGCTCACCTGGGCAGACCACGAAGTGCCCCAGGGTTGAGCGGAGGGCAGCGGCAGCAGCAAGGCTAAACACTTCCTGCCATGTCTTCCCCTTCATTTGTTCATCAGACATTTACCAAGCACTTTCTATGTGCCAGAATGTGTGCCTGCGGATGATGCAGGGATGGGAGGTTTCCTGCCTGGAGAGGGAGCTAGGCATGGCTGCACCCTTGGGGGCTGCTGTTGTCAGAGCCTCCTGGGGCCTGTCACCAGCGCTTGGTCCCTCCCTGGGGGACTGCTGCCTTCCCTGGACCTGGAAACTTAGTTCAGAGGGCTTTCCCTACAAACAGAAAAAGGGCTCATTCCGATGAGAATCTTCTGCCTCCCAGAAGATACTCTAGGGGTGCGGACCCCGGAGCCCCCTCGGTCCACCTCCTGGCCCCGGTTCAGTTCCCCTGGGGCTTGTCTGTCTGCAGGCTACTGGGAGGTGAACGGATTCGGGCTGCTAGGCATCTACAAGTCAGACCTGGACAGGATCGGCGGCATGAACACCAAGGAGTTCCGAGACCGCTGGGGCGGAGAGGACTGGGAGCTGCTGGACAGGTGACTGGGGAGGGGCCTGGGGCAGGGGCGGGGCTAGAGCCCCCCAGGTTCAGCCTCCTTGGCCCCACTGGACTGGATTCCTTTCCTTGCTAGGTCTGAGCTATTGGAGGGAATCCTGCCTCTGCCTTTGTGGCAGGGTGGGCGTGGAGGGTGCTTGGCAGACTGTTAGGGAAGGGCACAGACTCTGAGCTCTGAGGGTGTGAATGGTAATGTTGTCCCCTGGGTACCTCCCTGCCCACCTGGGAGAACACGGCTGGGGAGGAGGCTGGGGTTTTGGGGGGTTGATGAGAGAGTCAGCACAGGGTCACCATAACAGCCAGTGTGGACCATTAAAAGCATCGAGTATCCAGGAGGCTCTGGGTCCCTAGAGCCCCGAGAGAAAGGAGTTTTGGGAAAGAGGACAGGCTAGCAGGACACAGGGAGAGGGCATTTCAGAGTGTGTGGGTGGTGAGGAACTGGAGGCTTAGTTTGAGATTCCTCCTCAAAATTTCTCAAGAAATTTGCTGCCAAGGGGAGGAGGGGGAAAGTGGATGACACCTGGAGATCTGAGCTTTAGGAGTGAGGGTGAAGGAGAGAGACGAGGAGAATCCAAGAGAGAAAGGATGTCATTGCTGATGCCGCATGCAGAGGAGGTAGATGGGGCAAGGTCAAGGGCTCCAGGGGGAGGGGACCCTGCTGAGGAAGAGACACTCTTCTCCCTGGGAGACTGGGCACCTCCTCACCGCCTAGTCACTGGGCACCTGCCTGGGCAGGCGATGGACATTCTCCACCCCCTTCTTAGTGGACACCCTCCATTCCTCAGACCCCGGGAGGGACGTGTGGTCATCTCTGGTTCCCAGATGAGAAAACTGAGCCTCCAGGAGAAGTTAACGACTTGCCCCAAATCTCTCAGCTCTTGACTGTCTTGAAAACCTGATCTGAAAACTTGAAAATTGGATCTGTTTGATTTCCCCCCTAGAGGGCAGGCAGGCAGGCAGGAAGGTGACCATACTAAGAGAATTTAAGGTGCAAACGAGGGTGGGTGAGGGAGCTTGTGTTAGATAATACAGCTCCCATAAAGCTCCACAGTCAGACCCCAAAGCGGTCAGACCCCAAAGCGGAGAGAAGCCTGGTGTTACCTCCACCTCTGGGGGAAGGCAGACCTCCACAGTTCTGCCTCCTCTGAGGCCCAGAGAGTGAGAAACTGCTCCAAATTCCTGTTACTTCCACCTGCTGGGAACACAGGCCTCCCAACAGACTATGTGACTATGCGGGTGGAAAGGGGGAGGTGGGGGAGCTGGGACAAGGTCTGCTTCCGACTCCCTCTCCCTCCATCAGACAGGGTGGAGGGACCCCTGCTGGCTGATCTCCAGGTGTGCTGAGCACTTGGGTCCTTCACTGATCCTTACCGCATCCACCACTGTATCCATTTACCCTTTCTAGGGAGAGAGGCTCTGAGACACGGCCCAGGCCGTTTGGCTCTCTTTGTCCCACCCCTGCCTCATGGGAAGCAGCCAGGGCCTGGTGGGGCCGTGGAAGGGGGCTGGCCCTCCCCCTACTTCCCTTGGTGCTTCTGTGGCTCATCCCACCCCCCTCCCACCCAGGATCCTCCAAGCCGGCCTGGAAGTGGAGCGTCTCTCCCTCCGAAATTTCTTCCATCACTTCCATTCCAAGCGGGGCATGTGGAACCGCCGCCAGATGAAGACGCCATAACCCCGGCAGGGGTGGGGCGCCCGCTGGACCGATGGCTTCCAGCACCTGGACCGCGGTGGCCTGGCCAGTGCCCACTCGCTGCCGGAGCGGGAAGGGAGGGGAGCAAGGGCCGTGGTGGGCCTGAGCAGCCTCCGAGTACCCCCTGCCCTGGCGGCCGTCCTCCGCCTCTGGGCCTCCAGGGCCAGGAAATGAGACAGAGGTGGCAGAGTTCTCAGGAAGGGCAGCGGGACCAGGTTGAGGGAGGCAAGCCCAACCTGGGCAGACCGCACTGACCAGGAGGCGCCTTCCAGGGCCCACCCGGGGCTCCTGGGGGCGGGCAGTGACCATGGACTGGAAGCTCTTCTATTGGGCGAATTTTATTGGGGTTTTACTTTTTTTTTTAATAGAAAACCAAAACCACACATGTCCAGACCCAGCATAGACTGTGAGGGGGGTGGAGTTGTGCATTTAGGAAGGGCACCCCGCCCCCCCTGCATACCTCAGACTCACAGGTGCGTCCCTGGGCCCTGGGGAGCTGGCCCCACGTGGAGCTGTTCCCAGCTCCCCTGCAGGTCCGTGCCTCCAGGAAACACACACCCTCCCAGGTAGCCAACCGACAGCTGGCCGCGGATCAGGGCATTAACCTCACCCTCCAGCCGCACTGGCTCCAGGATGGCTGGAAGCACAGAGGGGACCAACTCCTCCCAGTGCCTCAGGGGTTGGGGGCCAGGGAACCAACAGGGGGTGGTGGGCTCCTGGCTCCCCCGTGCAGGGCGGACATGCATCACAGGTGAGGGAGGGGGACGGGATGGCAGGGGCGAGAAGCCCCCTTCTGTCCCAGCCGCCTGTGAGCTGGGCCTTGGGGACCACATGAAGCAGAGCGGGGAGAGGATGAGGGGAGGTGTGAGGTCCAGGGGGAGGGATGAGAAGGGAAGCGGGAAGCCTGAGTCCTCACAGCTCAGCCCCTCCTGCCGCCTGCAGGGAGGAAGAGGAGAAAGACCCTCTGAGCTGGGGAACGGGCCCCGGGGGGGGGAAGGTCTGGGGAGGTCAGGCAAGGGTGTCGTTCTGTCCACAGAGCCGGAGCAGGACTGAAAAGTGAAGCCGTTTCAGGGAGCACAGCCCTCGGCCTCTGTGGCCTGGGGCGCCTTTTCTGTCACCTAGATCTCATCGCACATTTCTCTTGCACTAATGATCCCAGGCGCCTCTAGGCTGGGGATGTTTCTACTGCTGCTGCCTTCTGCGCTGCTCTGACTCACCACCGGTGTGCTGGACGCGGCCTCGCAAAGCCCAGCATCTGTGAGGAAGGGCCGGGAGCGGGTAAGGCGGGGCCCGGGAGGCCAGCCCGCTGGGCAGCCCAGGCTCGGTGTCGTGAAGGAGTCCAGGTCTCGGTGTGTGGAACTGCAAGTCCGCCCGGTGGGCCCCACGCTCACCCAGAGCATGAACTTGGCCTCCGGGAGAATGGAGCCCCGCGGGAACCTTCTGGAGGTTGACGAGAACCCCTGCCTCCCTCCTAAGAAATCAGGAAGGACATGGATTTTTTGGTTAATAGATTGTGGCTTGTGGATGCTCCATCTGCCCTCAGGCTATGGCCTTTTATGGCCCTGGCTCACACGCCGTGCCTTCGGAGAAGGGCTGTAGGGAGTGGGTGAGAGCTGCGGCTGCCTGGGCGGCCAGGTTTCTTTCTGGGGCTACTTTTATCCCTGGCGTTGCCCAGCAAGGCCTGAGTCCACCCAGATGGCCCTCCTGCTTCACTCCTCCTGAGGACAGGTGTCTGTCCAGCCTCCCCTCCCCGGCCTGCCACCCCCTCTGCCCCAGCCAGTGCCTTGCATTCTGTGTTTGTTACCTCCACACCATCTGCCTTAATGGAGGGGGCCTGGCGTGGCCCCTACTCGGTAGGGAAATGTGTAGGGTGCGGGGAGGGAAAGCGTTAAATACAGCATCTTCTCAGAAAACAAAATGCCGTCGTGTCTTCCTGTTGCCCATCGGGGTGGGAGAGGCTGGGCAGAGGGCCCAGGCTCACGTGGCCATCCCTAAGTTCTGAGGCCTCTGGTGGACATGCCAAGGGCGCTCCATATTACCCTTCATCACCTGTATGTCTGTGTGTTGGAGGGGGCAGCCTTCCCTGCACTGTGGTTTACTCAGGAACGGGACCACGATGTTCCTGTCTGAGGAGCATTTTTTGTGCAATAGATTCATGCGGGTTGGAGCTTTCAGTTGAGAAACGCTGGTGGACACAGGAAGGTTGGATGAGGAGCTGAGGTGTGGCTTATTCTAAGAGAGCAGACAATCGAAAAGCATCCGTGTTTGAGCTGGGCATGCCCTGTTGATGCATTACAGTACAAAGGTACCATCCTGGTTATATCTGATCTAGGCAGAGATTGAAATTAGTTTGTATTCCTTAAGCACGTGCCCAAGAGAGGGTGCTGCTGTGAAAGCTGGGGCGGCCAATTTGTTATTAGTCACTCAGTTATGTCCAACCCTTTGTGGCCCCATGGACTGTAGCCTGCTCCTCTGTCCATGGACTGTAGCCTGCTCCTCTGTCCATGGGATTCTCCCGCCAAGAATACTGGAGTGGGTTGCCATGCCCTTCTCCAGGGGATCTTCCTGACCCAGGGATAGAACCCTGGTCCCCTGCATTGCAGGCAGATTCTTTACTGTCTGGGCCACCAGGGAAGCCCAGGGGCAGCCAATTGGAGGTTCTCAAAAAGCATCCAGAGAAGACTGGTCTGCTGCTAATGCAGCAGATGGTAATTATCCTAAGCAGGGAAACCTGACTCAGAGCAGAACCCAGAGGACAGGGAGTGACTTAAAAGCCTTTTCCCCCTCCAGGCTTGGGGTTGCTCCTTTGAGGCATTTCCAAGACACAGATGGAGACAGCCAGCCGCCCTCCCGGGTGCTTGAACCTTCACAATCGAAGACACAAATATTGACTCATGGTGGATCTGCAGAAAGCTTTATGGAGAGAAATCATTCCATCCTACAGAAAAGAGAAAACAGGCTGGAGCAGAGGGAAGGAACAGGGTGGGGTCAGAAGCAGAGTCCTTAAGCTGGGCAGACACAGCCTTCAGTAGGCACGCCAAGGCCCAGGAGACAGGTGGGTGGTACTGGAGTCTGAGCTCAGGACTCCAGGCTGAGATGACTCCACTTAAGCCCGGAGAAGAGCCCGTCTTTGTTCCGGTGCCGAGGGTAAGAAGCAGGGATGTCTACACTGCCCTCCAAGTCTAGGAGCTCTCCCTGAAGCTGTACGCTGTGCCCTTCAGCCTGGCAGATCAAGGGGGAGAGAAGGAAGCAGTTCCAGGCCAAGCACCTGTAGGGGAAGCAAAGAAATGAAGAGGAGGCCAGGCCAGACCAGCACCTCAGGCCCAAGTGTCATACAGTCCCCCTGGCGCCTTCCCAGGGTGCAGCTGCGGGTTCGGATCCGAACCTGAAGCAGGGCCTGAGGCTCTGTGCTGCTGGCCGGCTCCCTGTGGTCCTGTTGACTCTGTCAAGAACACCCGAGTCTCCCTCTTCCCCCACTAACCGCAGCCTCCACCCTCCCGGGCTGCAGAGAAGCTCAGCCTAGGAGGACAGAGGACAGAGGACAGAGGACTTTGGTGAGTCCCAGCCCATGCTCCGCTCCAGGACCTCATCCCTGCCCCAGGTCTACATTCTTCCCCTTCTGCCTGGCAAGCATCTCTCTCAGCCCAAACCCACAGAGGTGAGAAGGGCCACTGGGCACCTCCCATCTTCCCTCACCTGGGCTCCAGGCCGTGTTCAGAGAGGGGTCCCAGCAGCCAGGAGCCTAGTGTTGTGTGCCCCGAAGGCCGTGATGAGGATGTTGATGATGACAGTGATGAAGATCAAGGCGGTGGCCGCATTGTTGAGCTGGTTGAGTCGCCACTGCTTTTCTACCTCGTTGAGGTTCAGTCCAGCTGTGGAGAAGAGGGAGAAGCAAATGAGGGCCTGGGGGTGGGGGGACAGCCTGTCCAGGTGGGGACAGCCTGGAGTTTCCCCCACCACAGCCCCTCAGAGATCAGGAGTTGGTGGCCAGTGTGCTGAAATGTCTTCTCCCTCACTGACCATGTGGGGTGTCCACGCCACCCACACCCATGTGGGGTCAGTACTCAATAAAGCCGACTTTGGAAACTTACACTGGGTCTTCTCAGAGTGGGGAATGCACGCTCTAAGGAATGCTGCTACGAGTTTGAGCACAGTCATTTACCAGGCATTGTACTGGCTACTAGATGGGATGCCAGGAGGTAGGTCAGGGTGCCTGCCCGCACTGTGCCATTGCTACTTGGGCACTTGAAGGGCTAAGAGCAGGTGAGTGTATGACTGTGGCAGGGAGGCATTCGGGACTTTTCTTCCCACCCACCCCCCGAGGCCAGCTCCAGACCCGGGCTCCTCACCCATGACCATGAGGAGGATTCCGATGACCGCCTGCAGGAGCAGAGAGACGCTGAGGAGGGTGACAAGGGCGGAGTAGCGGTGGGAGGACGGACCCTGATCCAGCACCACTTTCAGCTGCGCAGTGTTGGACATGAAGAGTGCCATGTCCAGCAAGCTCTCCGCCAGGCTCTTCTTGGTGGCGTAACGGTTCAGGCTGATGGGCCGGCTCCTCCCTGGGCTGGGGCTCCCAGGCTGTTGAGGACAAAATACAGGCTTACCGGGAAGGCTCCAGAAGGGAAGTGGTTGAGAGGCTGGGAAGGGGTGTGCTAAGTCGCTTCAGCTGTGTCTGATTCTTTGTAACCCCATGGACTTAAGCCCCCCAGGATCCTCTGTCCATGGGATTCTCCAAAAAGAATACTGGAGTGGAGTTGCTAATCCCTTCTCTAGGGGATCTTCTCAACCCAGGGATTGAACCTGAGTCTTCTGCATTGGCAGGTAGGTTCTTTACCACTTGCACCACCTCTGCTTTCCCCTGAGAGGAGAGGGTCGCGGAAGACAGGACGAGGAGTTCTGAGGCTGCGTGGGAAAGGAAAAGGCATCTCTCCTCCCAGAACGATGTGGGACCCAAGGCGGGGTGCAGAGTGCCACAGATGGAACGGGAGCTGCGCGCTCGTGGGTCCTGCTCCAACTCGACCTCGTGGGGACCCCTGGAGCCGCAGCCCTTCTCGGGCACACACCCCAGTTGTCATACCTGGCCCATCATACACACACGTCTGTGAGCACCATGCACACAGCAATGCAGGCCGGTCAGAACTCTTCATTTGTTTGTTATTACTTTTTAGCTAGAATTTATTGATGCAAAATTTACATCTGATTTGCTTTTGAAATATTAAGATGAAGTTTTATTCTCAAGAAGCCACTTACTCTGAAAGAGCGGGTCACAAGCAGGGCTGTGGGGTCAGGGGGCAAACTGAATGCTGCAGGCAACCTGCAGTCACTCAAAAGAACTGGAGTGCGTTTTGAGGCGATTCATTTAGGATGGCGCTGGGGATGGATGCATGGCCTAACGAGGGCCCAGAGCGGGGGAGACACGTTGAAAGATTCTGGTCCCGCAGGGCACCGTTGCCCCGAGTCCACGTGGTGGCGCTCGGGTCGGAAGGAGCAGTTTGGGCAGCAGGGGTGGGGACGCTGGCGGGGAGGGTACAGGTTGGTGTTTCTCCCCGAGGAATCCACTGACAAGGCAGGGTTGGTGTGAAACCTGGACCCACGGAGGCTAGGATGGGAGCCGGTTCACAGGTCTGCCTCGGCTGACCTAAAACCCACCAAAGGTGTGAAACGGGTAGAAATGACCCAATGCTGACTTGGGTGGGCCGGTGTGGTTAGAGGACAGAAGGCTGAGAGACCCAGGGAGGCGCTGCCTAGAAAGGGGTCCCCGTGACAGTCATGTCCAACTGTTTGTGACCCCATGTACCAGGCTTCTCCACCCGTGGGATTTTCCAGGAGTAAAAGAGTACTGGGGTGGGTTGCCATTTCCTTCTCCAGGGGATCTTCCCGACCCAGGGATTGGACCCGGGTCTTCCGCATTGCGGGCAGATGCTTAACCCTCTGAACCACTGGGGAAATCCCCCAAAGCGGGGGAAGGGTTTTCTTAAATTCCTCTGGACGGTTTAGATGCAGCCTTGCCCTGAGGCAGAGGGATGGCTGAAATGACCAGAGGGGGCCCTCCCTATGGCCTGAGGATCCGATTGGATGAACCCCCGAATCCTGATGGATGCCCCCCTTTTGTTGACAGCCGGGAGCCCAGGAGCGACCCCTTCCCCCCTCTCCCTCCCCCCCCTCCCCCTCCCCCTCCCTCCCCGCCCCGCGGCCGGTGGGCGGGGACGGCCGCAGGGCGCGCGCATGCCCTGGGCGCTGGTCCTTTAAGGCCGGGCGTCCCGGGAACAAAGGCCCGGCCTGCGCGCACCGGCCTGAGTCACTTCAGTTCCTATGCCCGCGCCCGCGCCCTCCCCGCCCGGCCCGGCCCCTCCTTGCCCCCTCTGCGCCTAGGAGTCTGAGGAGCGGCGCGGTGGGCGCAGGCTGCCCGTGGCCCCTGTATTTGTCTGGCTCCTCTGAGCGGGGGCCGGGGCCTAGGCGCTCCGCGCCCCCCGCGCCCCGGCTCTGGACCTCCCACTTTGGGCCTCAGTTTCCACACCCACAACCGGGGGTGGGGGCGGTAAATGCCATTCGCGAGGCGTCCGAGTGAGACGGAAAGAGATCTCCGAGCCTCGTTTTTCGCATCTGAGGTCGGTGTCACAGGGATCCCTGCCCCTCAGCGTCGGTCTCAGCCCCCTTCTCCTCCGCCCTCGCGCCCTCACTGTTCCTCCAGGACAGGCCCCCCCAGACCCCGGGGTCCTCCTTAGAGATGCGCAGCCCGCAGCCTGCCCACCGCGCCGTCTGAGCACCCAGGCCAGTTCTGCGGACGCGAAGTGGGGTCCCGGCGTTCTCGGCGGCAAGGGCACGTGGGTGTGGAGAGCGGGGGTGGTCAGACCCCGCCCCGGGTCGCGGGTGCCCCACGCCGCCGCCGCCGCCGCCGGGCACAGCCGGGCGCGCACTCTTCCTCGCCCTGCCCTCGGTCCGTTTCAGACTGCCCTGTCCCCAGCCCGCTCGCCAAGTCCAGCTCCTCAGGCCGGTGTGGGTTCAACCCTTGAAGCCGTGGACTGCTCCATTGTTCCTCCAGACGGTTATTTATCCCTTAATCCTTGCTGGCCTGCATTTTTGTTTCTTGAGGAAACTTGGGTTGGATAGGAAAGGAATGCCTTTTTGAGCAGAAAAGTAAATACAGTTTTGCAGTTGTTTATTGACCCAGCACCTGGGTGGGCTTCCCTCGTAGCTCAGTAAACAATTTGCCTGCAATGCAGGAGACCTGGGTTCGATTCCTGGGTTGAGAAGATCCCCTGGAGAAGGAAATGGCAACCTACTCCAGTATTCTTGCCTGGAGAATCCCATGGACAGAGGAGCCTGGCAGGCTACAGTCCATGGGGTCGCAGAGTCGGACACAACTGAGTGACTGAACTGAACTGTCCATAAAGCCTTGATAAAATAATAATGCACAGTGTACAGGATAGATGATTTCTTGTGTCCCTTCCAAGCCAGGACGGTCTAGGTGCGGGGAAGTCCCTTCTCTGAGTGGAGTCTCAGGGGCCAGGGATTTATCCTCCAAGAGGCAGAGTTCAGGTGGCTGGGCACCAGGTCAGGGTCAGAGGCCTGAGTCACTCACCCTAGGCAGCTCCAGGGCAGGGACGACCCTCCATTGAGTCAGTCGACCCTGAGAAAAGCCACATGGCAGTTTCCCTGGGGATCAGCTATAACACAGGGCATCAGGCACAACAGGCCCAGAGGAGCCGTGGCCTGATGGCCCTGTGTTGGCCTCAAGATGCCTGACTACCCAGAAAAGCCACCTGGCAGGAGATGGCAAAGAGCCAGGCTGGTTTCAAAAAAGGGAAAGGCGGATCCTAGCCCAGGAAGAATGATTCCTTCAGGTGTGTGGATTGGGGCGGCCTACTATGCCAGCTCACCTTTAATGAGGTGCTGTAAGGCGAGTGCAGAAAAAAAAAGAGCAATCCGGGCAGTCAGGCAAGAAAAGGGAAAATTATTAGAGGGAAAAGAGAGGGTGACTGACTCTTAAGGAGAACCAGCGTCCTCCCTTTCTGACAGAGTCCTTCTTATACCCCGCCAATGAACAATTCTCCAAAGGGATGGTCATGTAGCCGGAGGTCTGGAATCTGGTGGTCTCGCAGCTTTGAGAAGATAGGCGCCAGCAAGATAACAGTCTGCCATTTGGGCAATTTGGTCAGTCTCAAGGATCACTGTGATTTATTCTTTGTTTGCAAGGTCAACATAATGAGCCATCTTAACAATGAGCCCCCATGTAGACCCTATCACCTGTGAGCCCTCAGCCTCTGTCAGGGTTAAGTGTGAAAAGGTGCCCGGGTCTGTCCTACTGTGGGCATGCACAGTAGGCCCCGGAACTGGGGATGACAACAGTTTCCTCTTACAGATTACAGACCTTGTGCCTGACTCAGCTAAACACAGGACATGAGTCATCTTACCCAGTCCTCACACAGTCCAGTGCAGTTGGTCAGGGCACCCTTGGGTTGGTTGGTCTGTCAGTCGCTCAGTCGTGTCTGACTCTGCGACCCCATGGACTGTAGCCTGCCAGGCTCCTTTGTCCATGGGACTCTCCAGACAAGAATACTGGAGTGGGTTGCCATTTCCTTCTCCAGGGTATCTTCCCCACCCAGGGATTGAACCTGTGATTATTGTAGTTGAAAGAAATGGAGGGTCTCCGAGAACCTAGGTAACTTGTTCAAGGTTTGGCAACACAGGTTTTATGCCAGTTCTCTATTTGCCAGAGCCTGTAATTGTAACTCCTACACTTCAGCCTCCCAGAAGATAGACTCCCAGCCTCCAAGGAGTTTAGGATCTAAAGATAGACTCATGTGGCTTCAGATGAAAGAAGACCGAATGTACACTTACTCAGGGGAGGTATAATACCCCTCCAGGGGCGACACTTGCCTTGGGCTCCCCTGGTCACAGCATGGCTGTGTCCTGAGCCCCTGCAGAAAGGGCCCAACACCCATAATCAAAAGGCTAGAGTTCACACTGCTAAGAGGTGACACGGGCAGCTGGGAGAATAGGGTTGACAAAACTTTCATCTGGATGTTTTGGGTTTTGATCCCTCTGAGTGTTTCAGCTGTCATAAAACAACAACAGCCAAATTAAAACACAGTATGCAAGACTTCCCTGGTGGTACAGTGGATAAGAATCTGCCTGCCAACCCAGGGGACATGGGTTCCATCCCAAATCTGGAAGATTCCATCTGCTTTGGAGCAGCTGAAGCCCGTGGACCACAACTCTTGAAGCCTGTGTGCCTAGAGCCTGTGCTCCATAACAAGAGAAGCCACCGCAATGAAAAAGTCCACTCACCGCAACAAAGAGTAGCCCCTTGCTCAATGTAACTGGAGACCCAGCACAACCAAAAGTAAATACATTATTTTCAGAAAAAGAAGTATGGACCCCAGGAGGCCAATAATTAATATAAAGCAGAACTTATAATTCTGTCTCACCCAGGCCCCAGCTTCTCCATGTGTAAAATGGGAAAAATAGGCCCTGGTTAGCTCAGAGGGCTATCCAAAAGATCAATGAGATAACCTGGGTGAATGTGCTTTGAAGACTGAAGCCTTAGAGCAAGGAGATGAGAGGGAAGTCCCTCC